CCTCCTCCTCCTCTGCAGCGAGTCAGTCCCTCCGCGGAGATGGTGATGATCGACCGCATGTTCATCCAGGAGGAGAAGACCATGTTGGCGTTGGACAAGCAGTTGGCCAAGGAGAAACCAGGTGGGGAACCACTTCTTGGGGGGCTTTTAGCCCATTTCTTACACCTTTTTCAAGGTCTCCGTGCCCCCCCTCCCTCCCCCGCCTCCCGATGGGGATTTTGGGGGGAAAAACGATGGAAATAGGAGGGAGGGGTTTTGTTAAAGGTCTTGATGGATGGAAATCTTATTTAAGGGAGAAAGTGGGGGTTTGGGCTCTTGATAAATCGTCCTCCTAAATGTCGATAAATGTCGATAAATGTCGATAAATCACGATAAACGTTGATAAATCACGATAAATGTTGATAAATGATGATAAAGGTCGATAAATGTCGATAAATCATGATAAATGTCGATAAATGTCGATAAATCATGATAAATGTCGATAAATGTTGATAAATCATGATAAACATCGATAAACGTTGATAAATCATGATAAACGTCGATAAACATCGATAAATCCCGATAAATCATGATAAATGTTGATAAATGTCGATAAATTCTGATAAATCCCGGGGGGGTTTGGGGGGAGGTCGCTGTTTCCCCCTCCCCGGGAGCAGGAGAATAATGGGATAAATTCCCTCAAAAGCAGAATTTCCTGATGGGAAGGGGTGGGGGGGTGGTAATAAAAAAGCCGAATCCTGACGAAAACGGGTCAAATTTGCCGAATCTCTTAATTATGCGAGGAAATTGTTGTAATAGTCGTAAATCTGCATGAATTAGCATAAAGGGTGGGGTTTGGTGCTGACGCTGCCCCGTTTCCCTTCCAGACGAGTACGTCTCCTCTTCCTCCCGCTCGCAGAACCTCTGCTCCTCCTCCTCTTCGTCCTCCTCTTCCTCCTCCTCCTCCTCCTCTTCCTCCTCCTCCTCCGCCGCCGCCGCCTCGGTGACCCCCGTCGTCCTCCCCGGCCCCGCGCCCACCTCGGAGAACCTCAAATCTCCTCCGGTTCCTGCGGTTCCTGCGTTGCATCCCACCAAACTGGTGATCAAACACGGGGGAGGGGGGTCCCCTTCGGTCACTTGGGCCAAGGCTTCTCCCCTGGGGGGGGACGGGGGGGAGGAGGAGACCCTCCCCTCCCGTAACAAACCCCCCATCAAGACCTACGAAGCCCGAAGCCGCATCGGCCTCAAGTTGAAGATCAAACAAGAAGCTGGTTTGAGCAAAGTGGTCCATA